AACAAGTTCCTTGGCCTCGACAACCAGCAGATCATTGTTTCGGGTGGTGCTATCGGCGGCTTCATGGTGGTCGTGGCTGTTGCGCTTGCGGTCTCGGCCTCGCGCGAAAAGAAGGCTGCGCCCGCTCAGTCCGTTCTCGCTGACAACGTCATTGACGAGATTGAAGCCGCCGAGAAGGCGTCGCCTGCCGTCAAGGATGCCGATGTCGAGGACATGACGAGCGAGTCGCCCAGCGTCGTCAGTGTCTAAGTGGACTCTCCGTTTTTTGGTTGACGCGTAATGCGATTGATTTTTATGCGAGTCTTACTTAAGCACCCTGTGCAGAAGACCGTCGCAGGGCGTGCGTCGTGGGCCCCAGCAGCTGGCTGCAATCCGACGACAGGGTGATGCGCGATCCACCGAATTCTAATTTTCACGTGCGACCAAATAGACACACCACGTGTTTTATGTGGCAAGAAGCATGATCCTGCCGTGCAGCACACTTCTCTCCTTGATGCCAGAGGGCGAGACTAACTTGGCACGTCATCGAAGATGGCAAATATTGTGTGTGATCTTCTTGCCACTTTCAAGAGCAGATCGTCGAGCTCGGTGTCATGTCCGGTGTTAATCCGCGGGTTTCCGCGGCATATAGACACGGAGTTGACTGGTCCTCACATACCCCGCGATTCCGCGTTCTCAAGCACACCGCAAGACTGTTCAAGTCCGCTTGATCTGCCTGTTTAGCATCTACGGCGATGACCAGCGAAGAACAAGAAGGCGCACGCCAGTTTTGACGCAGCCGCGCGATGTGTTTCCCACCGTGTGATACACGTGAAAAAGATAGCAGCTGCGAAAGCGTCATTTCCAAAGTCCGATGGCTCTGCTGAAGCTTGTGGCGCTCGTCGCGTACGCGGCCATGTCCGTGCTTGGTCAGGACCACCACATGCGCGCTGCGAGTGACATGCCTGCAACGCCGGTCCCAACGCGCCCGACCTTTGGCCTCGAGCTCTTCGACAAGCTCGTGCAGTCGCTCCATGTCGTGCGCATCCCCAACCAGCCGCTGAACGCGACCGAGTTCAACCGCACCATCCTCCTCGTCGAAGACTTTGTCAGCAACCGCACGCAACTTGCGGCGCTCAACGAAACGCTCGTGCGCTCGTACCTCGGTCGCCTCAACACGACCGAGATGATCTCGCTCTTCGAAGTCGTCTCCAAGGACCTTACGATGAACGTGACTGGCAACGTCTTTTACTACAAGGGTAACGCGTCGTCGAGTGACGACACGATTGTCGCGCTGGCAAATGCGCCTACTACAGCCGACGCATCGTCGGCGCTCACCGTCGGTTTTGCGTACGTCGGCCTCGTCGCGGTGATTGCCGCCATCGTCATGGGCGTTAGTATCACAAAGGACCACACGGCGCGGACCAAGCTTGATGTAAAGGTCGACGACGAAGGGGCTAGCGAAGACGCCGAAAAGGTGGACGACGTGCCCAGCACCAAGGACGTGCTCGACCCTGTCGTCGTCTAATAGCGGATTCTGGCAAATGAATGTATCCCATTTTTGCGAGCCAACAACCAGCGACGCCTCTGTGGATGTAGTTTGTTTCTTGTACGGAAGCTCGGGCTCATCGACTGTCTATCAGTCTTGCCGGGCCATCATCTGCAGAACATCTCAACCTGCCCCCCGTATCAAGTTTTTCGAGCCAATGCCGGCTTGCTCAAAACTAGTGGCAACGGCGTTGCCGAGTAGCGGACGTTTGGAGCTCACAGGTGTGGTGGCTTGAAGCTAGTCGGTACCATCTTTGACGATGCGTTTATTGCTGAATTTCCTTTCAACGCGATTTGGAACCCTTCCGTTCTTGCATCGAAGTGGTCAAGATCCTCACGCTACCAATGTGTTTCGATCTTTGGTCTGTGAACACTCGACAAGTCCACAGCGACTTGCCCTTTCTATTGCTGTTTTCTGTGGCGAAGCATTCTACAGCCCAACACACCGCGGAACTGCTCTCAAAGCGACGTAGGCTGATTGCTACTAGTACCCTGGAGAGTTAACCGACGGTTCAAGTGTACAATTGAACAGCCAGTGTGTTGTCACCAACGTGGAGCTCAACTGCGCCGTGGCGTCTGAGTTGGGCTCAGACGATGGACGGTGACTATCCCGTCGAACGAACTGCCTTTCCGCGAAACCAGGAGGATGAGCATGATTGCTCGCTTAAGATTTAAAAAGCTTTCAGTTGCAATTCGTTGAGCTATGATAGATACCCTTCTACGACTCATCAGCAACATAGTCTCCATTTTCAACGAAATCACAATTCACGAATTGCTTGAAGCGTAGACGAAGGAGGAGAGGCCACCTCTCTTCGCCGCAAGGCCGCATCACACAAACCGAATACAAAGCACCGTATTAGAAATGTGTTATTTTCGGGCTTCAGTCCGAAAATGGCTTCACATCCGGACCGCGTTCGCCTAGAATGGTCACCATATGCTGCACGCTTCTTGTTCGCGGGCGTCGCCCATACACCAAGAGGACAAATGCTTCGCACGTTGGCCACCGTCTCTGCTGTCATGGCGTTGCTCGCGTCGCCTGCGTTGGCCGTCGGGTGCTTGGAAGACTTGTACATCTGCCCCAATGGCCAAGGCGTCGGACGCGACCCTGCCAACAACTGCAAGTTCTTTCCGTGCCGAGACGCCGAGGCCCGCCAGCAGACACCAACTCCCGTCATCGCGCCGACTGCAACACCCGTGGCCGTTGCGACGCCACTGCCGAGTGCTGCCGGTACCGCAACGTCGCCAACGACTGCTCCCAGCAACATGACAGTGCACAAGGGCATTCGCGCAGGTGTCGATCACGGTTCCAACTGGACCGCCATCGACGCGTCGATGCCGCACGCGCTTTCGCAACTGCTGAATGCGTCCTTCGACAACTACCACAAAGTCTGTGACCCGCTCAACGTCACGGTGACGGCGGCAGAGAAGGCGCCTGCCAACGACTCGACCGCGCTTTACCACTTGGCGATGGATGTCAATTGCGCTGGCACAGATCACGTCTTCGTACTCGAAGTGACACAAGATGCTGAGGGCCTCTACTTGAGCCAGTGTGGTCACCGCGAAAACGGTACGACGCGCAACTGGCTGACGATCGAGAATCAAGTGACGAAGTGCCAGACGCCGGGCCAGCGCTCGGCCTTCTTGAACCAGCCCTTCAACCATGTGACGCATGACGCCGCCGAGACGTCACTGATGCAAAACATGCAGGCATTTCTTAAGGCACCCGACGTTCCCGTGCTTGGCGCTGCAGTCATCGCTGTCATTGCGGTGCTTGCGTTCGCTGTGTTTGTTGTCCACAGAACCCGCCGTCGCGAAACGAACGACCGTTCTGTTCTTGCGGAGGTTGATGAAGCTCATGAAGAGCACAAGCGCAAGGCTGCTGCTCATGAAGATGCACCCGCGCTGACGACAAACCCACTCGAGAGCACGACTGCTGCGCCTCGCAAAGCCAGCGACGACCTTGAAGACGGCGTACTCTCGTCGGTAAAGCTTTAAACATTGCCCGGTGTTTGTACTTGTCCTGCTGCGTCTGCACAAAATGGAAACGTTCGAGGCTTAAGATCGATGCAGATCACGGCGCTGCTGGACGGACGCAATGCTGGGGCGAGGGCAGAGACAGGGTGCAGCCACGCGGTGGCCGCGTGACTCACGCATCTTGGTCAGTTGCGCCTTTGATGAGCTAAATGCACGCAATTTGAGTCCTGGTGACTGCTGCCGCGCATGGTTAGCAAGTAGCGTCGTCCTTGATAGAGCGATTTACCTACGCGTTTACTTTCTTCACACTTATATACTGTAGTTTTTCAAGCACTCGATGAGGTGTATAGTCCGCTGCTACACGAGCAATCATCGGTGGGCAGTGGTGCTGTTGGGTGGTTTTAGACAACACCTGGCTTGGCATCGACTCCTGCTCAGATTTTGAATCGACTCCGTCATCGCATGAGCAATCAGTGCAAGGCCGACATCAAGACTTGCGAGGACCGCGTCTCGGGTGAAATCACGGAGCTTGTCCGTGACCCGGCCAAGGATTGTACGTTCCCGCCTTGTCCGCCCAACTCGGACCCAGTCCGCAGTGGTGAGGCTGGAAGCAGTCCTGCTATGAACAGCGGCGCGCCTGCGACCTCGATGTCAACACGGCAAACAGCGCCACAAGGTCCGCTGGGTGCGCAGGCAACAACACCGTCGCCTACCCAGCAAGCTACGCTTCTGCCTATTGTCACCGAGCCATTGACTCCGCCCACTATCGAGCAACAAGCAACCCAGGCGCCGACGCAGCCTTCGACGCAGGCACCAACCCAAGCCCCGACGCAAGCACCAACCCAAGCCCCGACGCAGGCATCTACCCAAGCCCCGACGCAGGCATCTACCCAAGCCCCGACGCAGGCACCTACCCAAGCCCCGACGCAGGCACCTACCCAAGCCCCGACGCAAGCACCAACCCAAGCCCCGACGCAAGAATCTACCCAAGCCCCGACGCAGGCGCCGACGCAGCCTTCGACGCAAGCACCGAAGCAAGCCTCGACACAACCACCAACGCAACCCCCGACGCAAGCCCCGACGCAAGCTTCGGCGCCAATTGTACCACTACCGCAAGTTGTTGCCACGCAGGCTCCCGTGACGGCTACACCTGGTGTCTGGTTGAACATTGACAAGGAGCACCCCGCGGCTTTGGACGCTGCCGTGATGGCGGCGTTTGGGAACTACAACGTCTCGAGCGTTTGCGATGCGTTCGCGATTCAAGTCTCCTCGTACGAGCAGATGCAAACGTCGTACAGCGTCGTGGCCTCGGTTGCTTGTGATTTGGCATCCGAGAGCCAAGTCGCAGGCAAGTACGTGCTGCATTTCGAGGAAGCGCCGCCGGGGGCCTTTACGCTCACCATGTGCGGCCACGAAGCCGACAACCTGCTTTTCAACTGGATTGGCGTCGTGAACGGTAACACCGTGTGCCAGACGCCGACCGAGAAGAACGCGTTTGCGGTCCAGGCCGTCGAGCACGTCGCCCACAATGCGTCAACGTCGGCACTATCGGACCCGGTGCAGTACCTCCAGTCGCTCGATACGCCGGGGCGCGCGGTGGTCGGAAGCGTTGCAGCGCTCGTCGTCGTCGTTCTCGTGTTGGTGCTTGTCAAGGTCGTGCGCTCGCGGCGGACGAGATACGAAGCGGCGTCCGTCGAGTCCAACACGCCGATGCGCCGTCGCCGCGCGTCGACCACCGAAGAGGGCAAAGAGGAAGAGCTAACAGAGACAGCGAGTACGCGCTCTGCGATTGCCGAGATCGAAGGTCTCATGGAGCCGACGACAACGATGAGTTTGCGTCCGAGCATGAAACTCGACACGCCAATGCACCCAACGCGCGCCAAAGACCACGATGCTGTGTTCTCGAACGCCTGAACAGACTCACTAGATACTATAATGCACAGGCATACGTATCCCTTTAATAAGTTGTCTATCAAAGCTGTAGAGTATGGGGAAGACCAGCGTCGGCAAGAACGTCTGTCAAGCATGAGGGTGCCATTGCGTCCGCTCCGTCAAAGCACACATCGTAGTGTTTGATAGCGAGGCTGCCAGCGGCAAACGAGACAAGGTCCGAGTCGAGAGAGCGCAAGCCAATGCGCTGCTTCATGGGTAGTCCCACAACGTCGCTCCACGTGAGAGCTTCAAAGACTTCTTCCAACACGTCCGAGTCGTTTTCACTTTCGGTGTTCAGCGTCAGCACAGTTGCACCGGCGTCCGCAAGTAGCGAGCCCAAGAGCTGCACATCGTACGGGTTGCCAGCAAATGGGTCGAGTAGCGCGACTTTGACGGGTCGGGCTAGCGACGTCGCAGCGGTGGCGATTGCAATGACGTCGTCCCACTCGCGACGTGAAGCCGCGCACGAGACGCTCAGTGCCAGCGCATGCGGCGCAATGTTAGAGGTGAGATACACGTGCGTGGCGACGGCGGTTGGCACGTCCATTGGCGCCGTCAATGTCACGGAGGCAAGGCCCTTGACGCCTGGCGCTGGAAGCTGGAGGGCGTGGATCTGGATAGCATCCGAGTAGCGAACGTGCTGGCCAGACTGGCTGTCGTAGTAGCTCGTGACAGTACCGAGTGGTGTCTTCTCAATCGTCGTTGTCGTCCCAAAGGCGCGGCGACGTCCTGTCCGCAAAAGCGCCGGCAACATACTTCAACACAACCGTGGGAAAATGGCAAATCCAGACCAATCCAGCTTCAAGCAGTGTAGTAACATTTGTATCGAATTTGGCGAGTGGTTTATAAATCCTTGTTTAATAATTTTTTAATGCCCTATCCTGCCCACAACCCGTCCACTCTCGCATATTAGTACGGACACTCGACAAGTTTTGAACGCAGCGCTGTAACATTATCGGAGTGAAGAGTGCAACGTCGGGTGCAATGATAAACGATGTGAAAGATGGGACCGTCGACTATATCCAATATATCCTAGGTCTGCAACTTATAGTCTGCAACGCGCTCTTCGTCCGATCCTGGCACTCTTGTTGGGCCGCGCTTCCCGCGAACAGGCAAAATAGATAGTTTGTGGCTCCGTCCACGAATTGGCACTCATACTTGCCGTGTGTTGTTGGCGACTCGTGGCGGATCTGGGCCAAACTGCCCCGGGGCTCCAGAGAACGAAACTTATGGCATCCTGTTCAACTGCTGCAGGCCTGCGTCTGGTGCAACAGCTATCCAGTGTCCAGTTACTGAAGTAAGCGGACAACCTACTAGTTTTGTGGCTCCGTCCGATAAGTGCCGTTCCAAGAAGTGGAAGAGGTTTTCCGCGCAAGGCCGAGCGTTCTAGAAGACCAAGATATGTAAGCCCACACACGTCACAAGATCCAGGCGCAGAGCAAGCGGCTCGAGCCATCCACG